GGGTTCGATCCCCACAGACGGTGATTGAAATTTTAGGGTTATCAAAATTGTATTTTCTTGATCTCGTAAGTGGTTAAAAATTTGATTTATATTAATTTTGTCATATTTGTATATTTGTTGAATCCATAAGTTGTTAAAATTTTCATTTATATACCCATAAACCCGCTCGTAAGTAATTGAAAATTCAATTTTCATCTCATTTTAAATGTTACTTTGGGTAGCGTTTCAAAGTAAACTATTATTTAAAACTTTCTTTATTTTACCAAATAGAAGTTATAGCTTGGTTTCAACTTAAAATATGTCATAATCTCTAAAATAAATTCTTCCAAACAAGATATATATTGGTTTATATCCAATATCCTCTCCTCAACTATACATGCATATTATTGAGTAGGCCTTCTTAGCTCAGTGGTAGAGCGCGTGGCTTTTAACCACGTGGTCGTGGGTTCGATCCCCACAGACGGTGATTGAAATTGTAGCATTATCAAAGTTGTATTTTCTTCGTCTCGTAAGTGGTTAAAAATTTGATTCATACTAATTTTATCATATTTCTATATTTGTTGAATCCATAAGTGGTAAAAATTTTTATTTATATACCCATAAACCCTCTCGTAAGTAGTTGAAAATTCAATTTTCATCTCATTTTAAATGCTACTTTGGGTAGCGTTTCAAAGTAAACTATTATTGAAAACTTTCATTGTTTTACCAAATAGAAGTTATAGCATGGTTTCAACTTAAAATATGTCATAACCCCTAAAATAAATTCTTCCAAACAAGATAAATATTGGTTTATATCAAATATCATCTCTCACATTATACATGTTTATAATTGAGTTGGCCTTCTTAGCTCAGTGGTAGAGCGCGTGGCTTTTAACCTCGTGGTTGTTGGTTTGATCGCCACAGACAGTGAATGAAATTGTAACATTATCAAAGTTGTATATTCTTCGTCTCGTAAGTGGTTAAAAATTTGATTCTTACTAATTTTGTCATATTTCTATATTTGTTGAATCCATAAGTGGTTAAAATTTTTATTTATATACCCATAAACCCTATCGTAAGTAGTTGAAAATTCAATTTTCATCTCATTTTAAATGCTACTTAGGGTAGCGTTTCAAAATTAACTAGTATTTTAAACTTTCTTTGTTTTACCAAATTGAAGTTATAGCTTGGATTAACCTTAAAATATGTCATAATCTCTAAAATAAATTCTACCAAACAAGATAGTATTGGATTATATCCAATATCCTCTCCTAAACTGTATATGCATATTATTGAGTAGGACTTCTCAGCTTAGTGGTAGAGTGCGTGGCTTTTAACCACATGGGCGTGGGTTTGATCCCCACAGACGGTGATTGATATTGTAGGTTTACCAAAATTGTATTTTCTTGATCTCGTAAGTGGTTAAAAATTTGATTTATATTAATTTTGTCATATTTGTATATTTGTTGAATCCATAAGTGGTTAAAATTTTCATTTATATACACATAAACCCGCTCGTAAATAGTTGAAAATTCAATTTTCATCTCATTTTAAATGTTACTTTGGGTAGCGTTTCAAAGTAAACTATTATTTAAAACTTTCTTTATTTTACCAAATAGAAGTTATAGCTTGGTTTCAACTTAAAATATGTCTTAATCTCTAAAATAAATTCTTCCAAACAAGATATATATTGGTTTATATCCAATATCCTCTCCTCAACTATACATGCATATTATTGAGTTGGCCTTCTTAGCTCTGTGGTAGAGCGCGTGGCTTTTAACCACGTGGTTGTTCGTTTGATCCCCACAGACGGTGATTGAAATTGTAACATTATCAAAGTTGTATTTTCTTTGTCTCGTAAGTGGTTAAAAATTTGATTCATACTAATTTTGTCATATTTCTATATTTGTTGAATCCATAAGTGGTTAAAATTTTTATTTATATACCCTTAAACCCTATCGTAAGTAGTTGAAAATTCAATTTTCATCGCATTTTAAATGCTACTTTGGATAGCGTTTCAAAGTAAACTATTATTTAAAACTTTCATTGTTTTACCAAATAGAAGTTATAGCATGGTTTCAACTTAAAATATGTCATAACCCATAAAATAAATTCTTCCAAACAAGATAAATATTGGTTTATATCAAATATCATCTCTCACATTATACATGTTTATAATTGAGTTGGCCTTCTTAGCTCAGTGGTAGAGCGCGTGGCTTTTAACCACGTGGTTGTTGGTTTGATCCCCACAGACGGTGAATGAAATTGTAACATTATCAAAGTTGTATTTTCTTCGTCTCGTAAGTGGTTAAAAATTTGATTCATACTAATTTTATCATATTTCTATATTTGTTGAATCCATAAGTGGTTAAAATTTTTATTTATATACCCATAAACCCTCTCGTAAGTAGTTGAAAATTCAATTTTCATCTCATTTTAAATGCTACTTTGGGTAGCGTTTCAAAGTAAACTATTATTTAAAACTTTCATTGTTTTACCAAATAGAAGTTATAGCATGGTTTCAACTTAAAATATGTCATAACCCCTAAAATAAATTCTTCCAAACAAGATAAATATTGGTTTATATCCAATATCCTCTCTCACATTATACATGTATATAATTGAGTTGTCCATCTTAGCTCAGTGGTAGAACGCGTGGCTTTTAACCACGTGGTTGTTGGTTTGATCCCCACAGACGGTGAATGAAATTGTAACATTATCAAAGTTGTATTTTCTTCGTCTCGTAAGTGGTTGAAAATTTGATTCATACTAATTTTGTCATATTTCTATATTTGTTGAATCCATAAGTGGTTAATATTTTTATTTATATACCCTTAAACCCTCTCATAAGTAGTTGAAAATTCAATTTTCATCTTATTTTAAATGCTACTTAGGGTCGCGTTTCAAAATTAACTAGTATTTTAAACTTTCTTTGTTTTACCAAATAGAAGTTATAGCTTGGATTCAACTTAAAATATGTCATAATCTCTAAAATAAATTCTACCAAACAAAATAATATTGGATTATATCCAATATCGTCTCCTAAACTATATACGCATATTATTGAGTTGGCCTTCTTAGCTCAGTGGTAGAGCGCGTGGCTTTTAACCACATGGTTGTGGGTTCGATCCCCACAGACGGTGATTGAAATTGTAGGTTTATCAAAATTGTATTTTCTTGATCTCGTAAGTGGTTAAAAATTTGATTTATATTAATTTTGTCATATTTGTATATTTGTTGAATCCATAAGTTGTTAAAATTTTCATTTATATACCCATAAACCCGCTCGTAAGTAATTGAAAATTCAATTTTCATCTCATTTTAAATGTTACTTTGGGTAGCGTTTCAAAGTAAACTATTATTTAAAACTTTCTTTATTTTACCAAATAGAAGTTATAGCTTGGTTTCAACTTAAAATATGTCATAATCCCCAAAATAAATTCTTCCAAACAAGATATATATTGGTTTATATCCAATATCCTCTCCTCAAATATACATGCATATTATTGAGTAGGCCTTCTTAGCTCAGTGGTAGAGCGCGTGGCTTTTAACCACGTGGTTGTTGGTTTGATCCCCCCAGACGGTGAATGAAATTGTAGCATTATCAAAGTTGTATTTTCTTCGTCTCGTAAGTGGTTAAAAATTTGATTCATACTAATTTTATCATATTTCTATATTTGTTGAATCCATAAGTGGTTAAAATTTTTATTTATATACCCATAAACCCTCTCGTAAGTAGTTGAAAATTCAATTTTCATCTCATTTTAAATGCTACTTTGGGTAGCGTTTCAAAGTAAACTATTATTTAAAACTTTCATTGTTTTACCAAATAGAAGTTATAGCATGGTTTCAACTTAAAATATGTCATAACCCCTAAAATAAATTCTTCCAAACAAGATAAATATTGGTTTATATCCAATATCCTCTCTCACATTATACATGTATATAATTGAGTTGGCCTTCTTAGCTCAGTGGTAGAGCGCGTGGCTTTTAACCACGTGGTTGTTGGTTTGATCCCCACAGACGGTGAATGAAATTGTAACATTATCAAAGTTGTATTTTCTTCGTCTCGTAAGTGGTTAAAAATTTGATTCATACTAATTTTGTCATATTTCTATATTTGTTGAATCCATAAGTGGTTAAAATTTTTATTTATATACCCTTAAACCCTCTCATAAGTAGTTGAAAATTCAATTTTCATCTTATTTTAAATGCTACTTAGGGTACCGTTTCAAAATTAACTAGTATTTTAAACTTTCTTTGTTTTACCAAATAGAAGTTATAGCTTGGATTCAACTTAAAATATGTCATAATCTCTAAAATAAATTCTACCAAACAAGATAATATTGGATTATATCCAATATCCTCTCCTAAACTATATACGCATATTATTGAGTAGGCCTTCTTAGCTCAGTGGTAGAGCGCGTGGCTTTTAACCACGTGGTCGGGGGTTCGATCCCCACAGACGGTGATTGAAATTGTAAGTTTAACAAAGTTGTATTTTCTTGATCTCGTAAGTGGTTAAAAATTTGATTTATATTAATTTTGTCATATTTGTATATTTGTTGAATCCATAAGTGGTTAAAATTTTCATTTATATACCCATAAACCCGCTCGTAAGTAGTTGAAAATTCAATTTTCATCTCATTTTAAATGTTACTTTGGGGTCTGTTTAGACCCTGTAACGTCGGCTAAAAAGCGATGTTGTTGCAGCCGACGTTGTATGGTAAACATACAACGTCGGCTATACGAAAACCGACGTCGTAAATTTTTTTTTTTTTTAATAGTATACATACAACGTCGGTTATTTATTAATAACCGACGTTTTATGTATACTAATTCGAATTTTTTTTTTAAACTAGTGTACAACGTCGGTTATTAGGAAATAACCGACGTTTTAAAGTTTTATTTATTAAAAAAAATAAGCCTTCAACGTCGGTTATTTATTAATAACTGACGTTGTAGGGTCTATTAAATTAAAAAAAAAATGATATTGAACTTCTGAGGTGGTCCCACAATCATGAATCCAAACCTTAAAAATGATACTTATTTAGCATTCATTAAAAAATTAACTAACTTATAATATAGAAAAACAGAACAGTAATAATATGGAGATGGATTCAGACAACAAAATAGTAATCACCCTCTCCTTACACTTCCAAATAGCGCAACTGCAGATCTGCTAAGCTGCATACCCTTTATCATTTTACTTGGATCTCTCATGTAATTACCCACTTGTTGACTAATACTCTGCAATTAATATAAGATAACAAATGTGAAAAGCTTGTTCATTTTTCCACATACACATCATCCAAAATCCTCCAACCAAACTTGATTAAACGCATGCAATTTGCCTTTAAGTGCAGCAGCATCAGGGCCCTCCTCTGACTTGTCTCTAAACGAAGACATCCTTTCGATGAAAAAAAAAAAGGCATCATGAGTATTAACTTATGCAAAATAATAATCTATGAATAAACAGCAAATGATAAAAAAAATTACTACAGAACTAACATCACGAGTGCACCATCAGGAATGTAAAATGAAATGAATGGCTGCAGTTTCTTATTTTATTTTTGTTTTAAATTAGAAAAAAAAATTGCTCCGAATAGATCATAAAGGGCAAAATTGCATCACAAAATTAATAAATTAATCATATATTGTTTTTACTATTCTGCTAATTACAGTTGATCCACATCAGTTTTGCATGTATACCGCCACCCCATTTCTTTCAAGAAGTAAGAACAAATTAGAAGTAACATAAACGATTTAGTAATGTTCCATCACTTCCATGGAAAGCAAGATGACTTGTTTTGTTCTGTAGTGACCATTGATATAAGACATGTAGTGAACAAGATCATGCATTAAACAGACTAAAAATATATTGATATGGTATAGAGCAGGCAGAAGCAGCATGAAAGATACCTTGAATGCATTTGGGTAATTTGCAATGTAACCATTCTTCATCACTTTTGCCAATGGATTGATGAGAAGCTTCTGAAACTTCAGAACCTATTGCATAATTAACATCCAGGACAAATATTTAGGAAACCAAGCATTGAATTAGAAAACCACAACCAGACCATACCAATTCCAAAAGTATAATCATAGGAAATGTAACGTCCTTCATAAGGTCAAAAAGGTGTGTGTGTTGGGTCCAGGGAGGCGTACAAAAAGTGTTTAATGGAGAAAAATAATTGAAACTAATTGAAACCAAGTTTATTAAAGCAACAATACTTACAATGCTAGAATCAATATGAACAATATGGGAATTTAAACTTACAGAATATGTGTAAGCCAGTCTCATACCAGTCTCCGTCATCATCTTTCCATGCAGCTACCTAGAAAACCAAAGATAGTTAATACTCCATACTATTACGATGACATCTAACATTCCAAGTAGACATTATTTCACGACCTATGCACTTAGGTTTAGCTCTAGTGATTCATGCAATGATGATTTTTAAGTATAATAGTTCATGAGAAAGAAGACGAGCATAAAGGGTGAGATAGTGAGAGTTACCATTTTGTTAGTGAGATAGAAGAAGAGAAGCAATAGTGTGATAGAGAGTCTCACCAACCTTTCCTCCCAGCACATCTCGTGCCTCCAGCAGTATTGGTTTGTGGCCCGCATCTGCTAAATATTTTGCAGTAGACAACCCAGCCAAACCTGCAAGCACCGAAATACGAAAACAAATTTCTTTGAATTCCTTTTTCTCCTTTCACAGTTCGGTTATAAGATAGTTGTAAGATAGTAGAATGAAAGGAGCTTTCTACATTTCTTAGAGCATAGTGAGGGGTTGTTTGAACGTAAAACTGAAGTGGAATAATCCCCCTAAACGTTCTAGTACAACAGAAGTAGCAAAGGAATAGCATTTCTTCAAAAACGCCAATAAGAAAATATAATTGAGACCGAGTAAACATTTACCGGCACCAGCAATAACAACTTCCAATGGTTTACTTGGACGTGGAGCAGAACAAAATGAAGAGGACAGGTAAGCATACATCTTGCTTACATCCACAAACAGATTCTTTACAGATAAACAATCTGGATTAGCTTGCTAAATCTACAACATCACCCTAAAACTCTAAAAAGTAAAGGGAAAAAAACACAACCTGCAGAGATAAACAGGGCACAAACACAAAATAGATCAAGATTAGTACTTTGAGACTCAAACCACAATTCCCAGTATTACAGAACCCACCAACAAAAGCTGAAACAAGAGCAATTGAAACCCAAACAAAACTATATAGAAAGATAGCTTCGATAATATTCACTTAATTATCTAGAAAGATGGCAAGATGTTGTACCCATATTATCAATAAATCCTAAAATACAAATATATCAACATTATTTACTAAAATTCAAATTAAATTAATAGTAATTCGAAACATATTACAAATAAATCTTAAAATACAAGTATATCAATAGTTCCAAATATATAACCAATAACTTATAAAATTCAAAATATATACCTAACAATTCCTAAAATTCGAAATACATTAATAAATAATTTCAAATATAATTATTGTAATTTCAATATTTAGAAATTAAAATAATAATTAAAAAAAAAAAAAAAAAAAAAAAAAAAAAAAAAAAAAAAAAAACTACCAAAGGAGCGGGGTGCGGCTGAAGGCAGTGTGGCGGTGCAGCGCTTCGTCTGTGGGCGGCCGTGCGGCGGGAAGCTAGGCGGCTGTGTCTGTGGCTCGGCAGCGGAGGCGTCGAATAGAAGGTGCGGTGTGGCGGTGGCTGTGCGGTATGACGGTGGGCGATGGAGGAGCGAAACCGACGCTGGCCGGTGGCTGTGATGTTGGCGGTGGCGGGTTGCTGGCCGGCCGGTGGGCGCTGGGGAGAAGGGAAAAGGGGCTGCGGAGAAGGGGAAAATGGGCGGTGGTGTGAAAATGATTTCAAAACCACTCAGATCTACTTTTAAAACCCTATTTTAATTTTAAATTTTTTTTTATAAAACCTATAACGTCGGCTATTAACAAATAGCCGACGTTAAAAATAAAATAAAAAAATAAATACACAATAAAATAACCTACGACGTCGGCTATATAGATAGCCGACGTTGTATTGTATTTTTTTTTTTTTATTTATAACGTCGGCTATTTGTAAATAGCCGACGTTATAGGTTTTATAAAAAAAAATAAAAATTAAAATAGGCTTTAACGTCGGCTATTTGTTAATAGCCGACGTTATAAGTTTTATAAAATAAAATAAAAATTAAAATAAGCTTTTAACGTCGGCTAAGTATATAGCCGACGTTAAAGGCCCGACGTTATATGTGAATTCTGTAGTAGTGCAAATAGAAATTATAGCTTGGTTTCAACTTAAAATATGTCATAATCTCTAAAATAAATTCTTCCAAACAAGATGTATATTGGTTTATATCCAATATCCTCTCCTCAACTATACATGCATATTATTGAGCAGGCCTTCTTAGCTCAGTGGTAGAGCGCGTGGCTTTTAACCACGTGGTTGTGGGTTCGAACCCCACAGACGGTGATTGAAATTGTAGTTTTAACAAAGCTGTATTTTCTTGATTTCGTAAGTAGTTAAAAATTTGATTTATATTAATTTTTTCATATTTGTATATTTCTTGAATCCATAAGTGGCTAAAATTTTCATTTATATACACATAAACCCGCTCGTAAGTAGTTGAAAATTTAATTTTCATCTCATTTTAAATGCTACTTTGGGTAGCGTTTCAAAGTAAACTATTATTTAAAACTTTCATTGTTTTACCAAATCTTATCTATAATAAAGCCAGATGTATTGGCCATAAAAAATGGCTCCAATTCCCGCCCAAGCAATACGACACCGTTTGGTAAATGTGATATTTGAGCAAAATCTCAGATATTTTACAATTCTTGAAATATTTAATTATTCCGTATAAAAGATGTATTTAATGGTGTATGTTCCTGGATTAGATTTCCTAGGCAAACAACTCATTTATCCATATGTCTTTTCCTATTTCTAGAAAACATTTATTGATAAAGAGTAATGATCTATTGTTATGCTCAAGGTACCTGTTCAATTCTCGATATCATCTTCGCATATATATATATATATATATATATATATATATATATATATATATATATATATATATATATATATATAATATATATATATATATATATATATATATATATAGGCATAGTGGTTGCAAGATTGGGTCCATGGATTTGAGGTAGGTCTCAGATTGCGGGAAGGAAATGGATCAGGTTCGGATTCCGATCCCATTCCGGCGAAAAAGAAAAGAAGAAGTAGCAGATTAGGTACTGTTTGACAACTCAGATAATAAATTTATCACTTGATATTTTTAATGAGGTGTGTTCTTTGACAGGAAAATGCAAGGGATTCGAAGTAAGTTCTGGGGAACTCCACGTTCTGTATGGATTAGTGAGGATGGCGAGGAGATTGTTGTTATGGATCCATTGATAAACTGGAAAAGCTTTCTGGTGAAAAGGTTTGCATTGTTCATGTGGCTATTTTTGTTCTATCTTGAATGATGGCTATTTTTGTAGTAGTAGTAGTATATATATATATATATATATATATATATATATATAGCAGAGGCATAGTGGTCGCAGGATTGGGTTCTTGGATTTCGCGTAGGTGTTAAATGCGTTGCAGTCGCGGTCGATCAATGACCACACAAGGAAAACTGCGGCTGGCCATGGTGGAGAAACCGTACATGGCGGAGGCGAGGCAACATGCGAAGAAGAGGCAAGGATTTGGATGTTTCAATTACTTGCACAGGGTAGAGGTCGAAGATGGTGACGACTCAATGAGCGTTTGGGTAGCTGCAGTGCCTCTGCTGGTTGGAAGTGGTATAGATAATGCCTACATTATGCAGGATTTTTTTTTTTTTTTGAAGAGAATGTTTATTCAGGGTTGTTCTTATGCAGGGTTTTGTATTTTCTTATTTCCTTTATTTTGCAAAGAGTTTAAGTTTTTTTTTTTTTTATTTGCTTCCTCAATGGTTATATGATGATCCTTAACAAATCTGGTGGGAGTGGACCAATGTGCATATCTAAACGAAAGATTTGTGAATGACCGAATATGATGAATGATTTGACAAAACCTCATTGTAGAAGGGTTCTTCAATGTGTGTAGAAATTGCAAAAAAAAAAAAAAAAAAAAAAAAAAAAAAAGAATTGAGTTTATTTTGTATATTTCTTTTTCTAAAGGAATTTCTTTTTCATTTGATCTTCTATTATAAATGTGTTGTTTAGAATTTTAATATTCCAAATATTTAATCCGTGCATTATCATACTAACTACACACCTTGATATAAATATAAATATATATATATATATATATATATATATATATATATATATATATATATATATATATATATATATATATATACTTGAAAATTTACTTGTAACATAAACACAAAATAAATAAATTAACTAGGACTTACTTCATATGTTACGAAATAGTATCATCATGCAATTTAAACCCATTTTAGCTTAGCATATGTAGGATGTCAAAACAAATGTGCTTAGCTAAAATATTTTTGTACACCAAAAATTTGAAACTGTCTTTCGAATTGTTACCTCCCTTTCAGCTTGTCATTGATGAACTCTCTTAGCTTCTTGAAATCATTCTCTAGCCCTTTGTGTTGATACGGTGCGGTCACTTGCCTGGTGATGTAGTTGCCATAAGCTTCCCGTATGTTGTTCCCTTTTAGTACTCCTGCTTCATGCCAGAAAATGCATTCATCAAATGTTCGGCCATCACACATTTGCTCATTGCGGTGTCCGAACTCCGTTTGAAGTTCTTGCAATTTTTGAACTCTTGTTGCAATTGGCTTCGGCATTGGAACAATTGGCGTCGGTGGCAACACTCCTAAAGATGTAGAACTTTGGCTTGGACAAGTTCCCTTGAGGTAATCAATCATACTCACACGGCTTGGAGCTCTTGGTGTTGTTGGCCGAATTAGCTCAACCAATGGTCCTCTTGGAGCTCGGGGTTGCGCATATGCTTGTGGCACAAAATGACGTGCCAATCCTTCCCCCTTTTCGGCAGCATCCATGAAACGTTGAAAGCTCTTTGTGGAAGAATCTTGCCTTTCACGCACTCCCTCTAGAAGGTCCATGTGAATACGCGATTGCGTGAGTAAACCTTGTACTTGTTGCTCCAAAAGTTTGAGCCGCGACGTAGAATCGGACCCATGCTTTCCCATTTCATTGAACAACTTCAACACATCTTTCTTCAACTCTTCCTTGGCCGTGTCAATTTCGGTTTTTAATAGGCCTTGCCTATTAAATAATTGTGTTGCACGATCCACCATCTCCTTGTGGTAGTCATCAAGCTTTGTGTTCATTGTCTCCATCTTTGTGTTCAATCCACCCGTAGAGTCTTGTACAATTGCCTTAACATCTCCAACAATTTCTTCTCTCAAGGCTTGTGCATTGAACAAGGGTTGATGTTGCACGGGTGCGGTTGAAATTGGCAAAGGGTGTGCAAAATCATCTCTTGGTGTGGTGATCATTGCATCAACAAAGCTTGGTTCGGCCTCTTCGGTGTTGTAGCAAAGAAGTAAAGTAGGTTGATGTCTTGGATTTGCTTGATCATAAAACTCATAGGAAGGAGGCAAAGTTGGCAAATTCCTTGTTTCATCCAAGTTCAAAGAGATCCCTTGACTTGGTGCATTCCCTTCCTCAAGAATGGATCCCGTAACCTCCGTTTCGGGATGTGGAAAATAGGACTCAAAGCTTAAATCTTCATTCATATTTGCATCTCCAAAATTTGCAAGATATGGATCAAATCCTAAGGGCCGTACATCATCACTTCTCACCAAAGATCCCTCACCGAGTCCTCTTCGGGTATCTACTAAAGACATAGCAGTGGCACGGCGAATATCATTTGAATCAAATTCTCCTAAAGGCTCCTCAGTTGTGGCTTCAACCATCATTCCCTTTTCCGTTCTCTTCTTCCTAGCAAGCTTAGTAGAAAAACAAGATTTAATCACCGAAAGCCGGGTAGCCTTTGCAAGATCTCTTGTGCTCAACCAACTCAACACAAATTCTTCATTTTCCAAAGTATTTGGCCCTATTGTTTCGGCCAACACACTATGGGTTCCCAATCTCCATGATCTCCAATCTAGTGCTCTTTTAAACTCCTCCAAGAGTACACTATCCGCTCCAATTGTAGGTGTCTCATCATCACTTCCAACTTCAACAACATCATTCACAACAACATTCTCCTCAACTCTATTTTCAAAACCTTGACTTTCAAGAATGGGGCGGTTCGGGTGGTTCGGGTTTTGAGTGGGTAAGGGTGTAGAGCTTGGGTGGCTATGTTGTTCCTCATTGGATCTCATGGCGGGAGAATTCGAGCCTTCATTACTCAGCTCACGAATAAATTGCCTTAGATTTAGGAAAGGGTTGGGTGTTTTTCTCTTTCGGGTGGGTTTAGGTAGGCTTGAGAGTAAGGAGGGATTTTTAGGCTCATTTGAGTTGGGTGGCCGAAACAAGTAGCTATGGTTGGTAATGTGTTTGGCTTTTGTAAGGGTTACATTCTTGGTTCTCAAAATCTCACCAACGGCAAACCCGTAACCAATCTCTTGTTGGAACCATCCATCAACTAAAGGTTTGGCCTTCCTTATAGATTCACACAACCTCCCAAACATAAAAGATCCCCAATCCACACAAACATTGTTCAAGATAATATCCATAATCATCAATTTCTCCTTAGACAATCTATCACGGCAATGATAACGTGATTCTACACATTTATGAATAATATCCAACAACAATCCATAATCCTTCTTCAAGTCTTTTTTAACACCATTAACCTTCGGAGATAGCGGTGCGTTTGCATCGCGTACCTCGGCCCATATGGCATTGACATCATGCACA